TAGTCCTAGGTCCTTGATCTACTTTGAGTTGGTTTTGGTGTATGGTGTGAGGTGTGGATCTTGCTTGAGTTTTCTACCTATAATTTTACCATTTTGCCAACATAATTTGTTAAAAAACAGATTTTCTTCATTGTCACTGATCTCCTACTTTGCCAAACACGGTGCCCTTTGTTAATATTTTAATCTTTTCTGATGCTGTATCCAAAATAAGCAAGTAGGAGTATCACCTTCCTTGGTTTAACAAGTGTTCTGAGTGTATTTTCCAAGATTGATTTGTTCTTTCTTCTGGCAGTAGATGGATATGTTTTGATTTACTTGTCTATGTTTGTATGTATGTCTATTCATTGGTATTATAATTCATATCACTATCAATTGTACTGATTGTTCTAATGCAGGAACTAGACTGTTTGCCAGCTGATGAGGAGCACATTTTACCTAAATATCAATTTCACCAGTCCACCTGCTGTAAACCTGGCTCATGTCCTCAGGGAGATCTCATTATTCTTCAGTTTAGTTTGTCTTCCTGCTTACATGACAAGCTAAGAGTATGCTAGAAACACAGCAGGTGTGCACTGCCAACTCCACAGGTTCACAGTTCCAGCAGTACATTTGCTGACAGAAAAAAAGATCTCCAAAGAATGTCAGTAACCAGTAAGGACCATTTATAGCTTCGGACACAGAAGGTGTCAAGGGGAGAGTAGACATCATTGTTAACCGTACCTCAGATGACCTCTAGAGGAAGGACTGCAGAGTCCTCAGAGGAGCGTGTCAGGACCTGTGGTGTTACTGACAAAGTAACGGGAAGGGGGGAAATGACCAAAACTATGAGACAGAGCGACCACGGCACACATGGAGCCTCGTCTTGTCCCAAGATGTTGACAATCTTATTTGCTGACAGCAGGATGCTTTTCCTTCAAATGTCTTCTGAAAAAGGAATGTTGTCCCATCAATGTCTTTGAAGGAATGCAGGTACTATTGTGTCCCCTGTGTCTCTCTGTGCCGAGAGTCCTATGAGTCTCTTGTGATACACTCATTTTCTGCCTCACTTTCTTTTTTTCTTTTTCTTTTCTTGTTGCCTTCTGTCAAATAAGATCTGACTGGCACAGGAGATTGCCCCTCTTTCTCTGGCAGAGCATCTGGTAGATTCGAACCATGTGCCTTTGGGATTGCAGTGCACCTCCTTACCACTAGGCTACCAGAGCTCCTCATCTGTCTCACTTTTAAGTTCCTTCTTCTTTCCACCTTACTTACCTCTTTATTTTCAGTGGTGGTGGTGGTGTTGTTGATTGCTGTCGAGTCGAGCACAACTCAGCAACTCTATGAACAAAAGACCTAATGCCTTTCCATAACTATCGTCATTTCACCAAGTTCACAGAGTTTCCAGAGGCATGTCGTTTAGGAAGTGGATGCCACTCCTGCTTCCAAACCTGTTTTACATCTGGGAGCTCCATGAAACACTGTCCATACTGGGAAGCCATTCTCGTATTTGATACCCCAATGGCACACGGTTCAGCATCACAGCAACCCAGGTTACTTCATACTGCACATTGACAAAGAGTGATGTACAAAGTGGAAGAGTGCTCCTCCAGATATAACAGCACTAGTTTCACTTAGCAGTGGTTAAGTGTCGTCAAGTCGAATACTGGAGAGGCCTAGAAGACTCTATTCTGGGAATGTGGCTTTTTGCGGCTTGCGGATGCTGATCCAGATGGGCAAGTGAAGTGAAGTTTTTGGGGTTGTGCTTTTTTTGGGTCTTGTTTGATATGTATTATTGCTCTTTTCCCCCCCAGAGTGGGGGTCCCTGAGCCTTGCCTAGGATTTAAGTCCACTCAAAGGTGTTGGCTTAAAATCCCACAGTAGCCCCTTATATTATAGTTAATCTGGTTCCCTCAGAGGAAACTGGGTGGTATAAGAAGTTTGCAATCAACTACTAACCTAAAAGTTAGTGGTTTGAAACCCCTCAGCTGCTCTAAACACTAAGGGCCTGGTGAACTGCTTCTGAAATGATTTCAGCTAAGAAAATCCTATGGAGGAGTTCGACTTTATAGCACATGGGATTGTCCCAAGTTGGCACCAACTTTAGTAATGGGTTTGGTTTTAGTTTTTGGTATCTTCGAATATCATCACACTTTGCTCATTATACCATGTACCTATAGAGAATGCCCTCTAATTGGAACTCTATCACTAAACTGTCTCCTCTGCACCTCCAGCAGCAGTTAAAACCAATTTTAAATACTGTAGCTAGTTATTAACCTTGTTCTATACTTTAATAAGGATATGTGTTAATTTAAATTAGAATCCTAGTCTACTCAGTATGAATGATGTGGCTTTAAAAATTTTTCTTTCTTTTTTTTTAACAAGGCAGGAAATAGTCCAGCTTCAGTTTCCCCCCATCTTACCCACCCTGATGCATAACAACCCTAGGACAGCATAAAACTACCCCATAAGGTTTTCCAAGTCTGTAGTCTTTATGAAAAAGACTGCCAGATCCTTCGCCCACAGAATCGTTAGTGGGTCCAAGTTCCTGGTCTTTCTGTTAGCTGATAAGTACCACTGCAACACCAAGGATGCTTTCTCTAGTCCTAGGGCTTTTAAATTTCAGACATGTATAGACCAGACCAATTATCTCAGATATCATGGTTGAAAATGGCAGAAAATCTCAAAGCAGAAAAGTAATCTTCTTGGACACCTTGCGTGACACAATTCATCAAATGTTTTCTTCTGGAACATGTAGGGGTTTTGTGTATGTGTGTGTGTGTGTGTGTTTTAATTTAGGAAGCTAACACAGCATTCTATGTGAATCAGAACAAAAGAGTTTCCAAAAGAAACAGGGAAACCCACCATAATACAAATAAAATTTCAGATCATATAGCAACAGTTGTCATATAGCCTTAAAATGACAATGGGAGGTATAGTTGAGGAGATTAGGGGAAAAAAGGTCAGCTGAGCTGTTTAGAAATGGTACAGGTGACACAGTGTGGAATTCTGCTCAAAGCAATGATTGTTTCCGAGATAAACACTGTCAGCTCCAGCTCTGATAAAGTACAAGGCAAAGTAGAAGATAAAGACTTGAAATATAATGTACACAAAGCCTGTATAGAAGAAAAAATTATATTACAGAAAGACTTGGATCTCAGTCACAAAAGGGCAAATATTGCACAGGGCCACTACTTTAAAACAGGACTGACATTGGGGTTGAAGGAAGACAGAGAAGAAGGGGAGGAATGATGTACACTGCATTGCCACAGATGAGGGAGAGAACTGTTTAAAGGGATATATGATTAGGTATTATTGTCATGTCAGGAGTCCAGAATGAAGGCTGCACAGTGCAGTGGACTTGGGGGGAGGGACTGCATAGCAATGAAAAAATCTTTCTTTTACTTATGAAGGAGAAAAGTGAATTGGGGGAGAGGGGGTGGGCAGAGAGAAAAGTGCAACAATGAATGACCGGAAACCCTAAGTCTCTGTACACTTTCATTAAAATTAATGAAAAAAGAGAAAGACTTGAAACAAACTACGAAACCTCTCTTTGCCTTTGAGGAATTTCTGCAAGATCTTTGCTCTTGCTCCTTTAATAAGTCTATGTGACCTACGAAGTCACCTGAAGGATTAGACTAAAGTGCTAGGCCATGACTTCCTGCTGGCCTTGTGACCTGCTCAAGTCACTGGATCCAGCCTTCCCATCTGCAAAATGGAGTTAATACTCCTCCCTCATTCATTTATCTAGTCACCAAGTATTTGTAAACAGCCAGCTATGGAGCTCTGGTGGCATAGTCTGTAGTGAGCTTCGCTGCTTACCCAAAGGCTGCATGTCTCTGTCAATTCAGAATGCCCTGGCACCTCCCCAAGAGATAGATGGGCAGTCTCTTCCTGTTAAGGTTTATAGCCTCGAAAACCAGCTGGAGGGATCACTATGAGTTGGAACCACCTAGACTGCAGTGAGTTTAAATTTGAGTTTGTCCTGGAGAAGTCAAGATGGTTTGATGGTTAACTGGCTGGTGCAGAAGGTCAGCAGTTTGAAACCACCTGCCACTTCACAGGAAAAAGATAAAGTTGTCTGGTTCCATAAGGATTTATAGTCTTAGAAACCCACTGGAGCAGTTCTATTATGCCCAGGGTCACTATGAGTTGGCATCAACCTGATGGCAATGGGTATATGTGTGTACAGGACAAGCACATGGTGAGCTAAAAAGACATGGCCTGCCCCCTGAAGAAGCTCCAGATAATCTCACAGAATAGTTAGTTAATCAGCAAGAAAGTAACTTTAAATTATAAAGTAATAAATCCAAAGTCTTTATTACTAGTGACTTCCACGTTCTTTTTATTCTCCATCTTTTCCCCCCTTTTCTTTCTTGTGTACCATCGAATCAGATCCGACTGGCACAGGAGGGGATTGTCCCTCCTTCTCTAGAGGAGCATCTGGTGGACTCGAACCATGTGCTTTCTGGATTGAAGGGCAGTGACTTCCACTCTTGATTTAGTGTGGGAATTAAGCAATGTTTCTGGGCTTTTCTATCCTTATTTATTAAACCACTCAAATGCAAATGAAGAAGGTAAGATTTTCAGGTATTTCTGAATCATGAGTTTGTATAAAGATTATCAATAAATAGTTCACATCTACAAAATGGTAAGACCAATATAGTAACTAAGTGTATCAATTGCCCAAGTGAAGACTGAAGCCATATATCCAAGGAGCTCTAATCTGGTTGCATGCCTTCTTTCCTCCCCAGAGGAAGTAGTTTTGAAGACTTTGGCATTTATTCTTTTGAATCATGGAATTTCTAGTAACCCTGGTGTGTGTATAAGAATGGTTGGCCAATGAAGATTTTTTTCCTTTAGTCAGATGCTTTTGATTCCTCTTGGAAAAAGAGGTCATGACAGTGGACATCCCAGAAAGCTCAAGTGCAAGCTTTTCTTCTCCCTGCCACTTCATAATGGGAAAGATTAAATGGTAGGCATTGCCTGCCACATTTAATAGGATGGTATATTTTAAAATATACCTTCAGGGCTTTTTGTGCAGTTTCACTGGAGCCAATTGCAATCAGGTTAGGCCCGGCCATGCTGCAGAAACTCTTCAGATGCAAAGCATTGGTCACTGGGACAGTGGAGACTGCATAGTCCTGCATATGACAGAAAATCAAGCAGTTAGGCACTCAAGAAAATTCTAAAATGGGTTAAAAACTTTCCCAAGCTACAGCTGCTAGCTGTATGCGAGGGGCTCTGCATGTCTGGAAGGAAAATTGGGACTCTCAGATTTTGGTACTGCCAGGTTAGAGATGACTGGAAGAATAAAAGGCAGCCACGGTGTTTTACCTGTTGTTTCATCTATGGAGCTAGCCACCCTGGGAGGGTGTGTCTGAATAGCCTGTTCAAACTATGGCTCAGCTGCTGCTACACACCCTTGTGAGGCACAGAGTTGCTTCCTAAGCTCTTTGGCAAGCCAAAGAATTATTCGAGTTAAGGGTCCCTCACAGGATTGGTATGTAGTCTCTAGCATAGTGTCTGGTATATAGTAGGCTCCCAAGATCAGCACCCTCTGATTCCAATCTGAAGAATTCACATATTTATTTCCAAGCCATTCTGTGCTCAAGATTTTTTTTTAAGTTCTTAACCATGTAAAGAACATCTGTTGGCTAGTTGTATGATTACAAACTAAGAACAAACAAAAGATGCTCATAACTAACTGTGCCTGTTGTTGCTTCAGTAGCTTAACAAAACTTAGAGCAATTTAAGTTTGATAATGTCTAGAACTCCTAGCAATATTACAAATTATTTTGCAAAGCTGGTAACATAAAAATACCATTATCCTTGACATATTGTTTCAATGGGTCGATGAATATTTATTAAGTAATTATTCTGTTCCAGGCATAAATTATCCTTTACTTACCTTAAAAGTATCAGCCAAAATTTCAGCACCTCGTTGATTTGTCCTTTTGGAAAGGCCCACAAAAAATTCTCTGCCTGTAAGAATGTCATGGAACACAGTGAGTGGGTGGCACCAAAAGGCTGCACACTATTGCTTTTATCTAGAAATAATGATGCTAAAGCATCACATAGTTTTCTCCTTCTACAGGGGCAGCTCTACTGGGATTCTGATGCATGCTCTCTTTACAAAAAGGTACTTCATACTATTGTCCTTAGAAGTAAATGTTTTAGAAATAAGAAGCATCCATATTGGCAAAGAGATGGTGAAACTGTTGCTATATGCAGATGATATGATAGGGTACACAGAAAATCTCGAGGACTCAACAAATAAACTAGAGCTAGTATATAGAGCTAGTATACCAATTTAGTAGAGTGGCAGGATTGAGGATCAATATACAAAAGTCAGTAGGATTCCTCTACAGTAACAAGAAAGAAGGAAAATAAGAAAGTAATACCATTTACAATAGCTAATCACAAATGGAGATACTTAGGAATACACCTAACCAGAGACACAAAAAACTTCTACAAAAAAACCTACAAAGCACTTCTGCAAGAAACAATAAAAGATCTAAATAAATGGAAAAATGTTCCCTGTTCATGGATAGGAAGACTCAATATGGTGAAAATGACAATCCTATGAAATACAATCTTTATTTTTTAATTTTTTAATTAAATTTTATTAATTTTAATGAACATTTACAGAGATTTTGGGCTTTCATGCATTCATTGTTGCACTGTTTTCTCTACCCTCCCCCCCAGTTCGTTCCTCTTTTTTTCCCCCCTTGAAAGTCTGTTTTAATTGTCCCATTGCCACAGTGCTTGTCAAAGTCAGTTCTGATTAATCTTTGTCAGTGTGTCCTGTGACATTCCCTATCACTCCTCCCTGAGAGAGACTTCACCCTGATTCATAAGGAAAAGGGGACAGCATATTCTCTTAGCTTCTTCCTGCTGAAAAGGGACGCTGTAGGTTTCAGGGTGAAGATCTTCTCTCACTACTCTAAAGGGCCCCTTTGGCAGTAGGAAACACGTAGACTATTGTGGAGGTTGATTTTGGAATTTAGATGCACTGTTATCAATTGTGCTTAGTTGTACATGTTCACATCTTTGTGTTTAATACAATCTCCAGACAGATGCCAAACTATTTTTCAAAGATAGAAAAGACAATGGGCAACTTTATTTGGAGAAGAAAGAGACTTAGAATAAATAAGGACTTCTAAAAAACAAGAATGAAGTGGGAAGCATTGTATGTACTCCCTGATTTCAAAACCTACTACACTGCTGTAATAACCAAAACAGCATGGTACTGGTAATGACAGGCACATAGACCAATGGAACAAAATCTAGAACACAGAAATAACCCATCTATATATGGTCAACTACTATTCAACAAGGAAACAAAACCTATTAAATGGGGAAAAAACTACTTCAACAAATGGTGCTGGCAAAACTGGACTGCTACCTGCAGAAAACTGAAACAGGACCCACACTTCTCACCTACACAAAAATCAATACAAGGTGGATTAGAGACCTGGGGTAAAATCCCAAACCATAAAGATCATAAGAAACAGAGTGAGACCAAGCTGAGAAGGCCTAGGCTATGGTATAAAAAGGCTGACAAATACAGCCAGAAATAAACAACCGGGAGAGGGTAAAAGTGATGAATGGGACCTTCTAAAGATTAATCCCTGTGTACACCAAACACTTTTTCCAATGGACTGAAAAGAAAACCTACTGACTGAGAAAAACAATTAGCAGTACTCAGACAAGGGTCTCACAGGGCCTCCATAAGAAAAAGACTGATAATATAATTACAAAATCAGCAAAAGTCATGGAAAGACTTTTCACAGAAAAACATATTCAGATGGCCAGCAGACACATGAAGAAATACTCAAAATCACTGGCAATAAGAGAGATGCAAAATAACCCATAATGAGATACCATCTCACCCCAGTAGCAGTGGCCAAGTTTAACAAGGCAGCAAACAATAAATGTTGGAGAGGATGTGGAGACATAGGGATTCTCATACACTATTGGGATTGTAAAATGGTACAACCACTCTGGAAGGCAAGTCGGTGTTTCCTCAAAAAGCTGAACATATAAATTCCATATGACCCAGCTATTACACTGCTAGAAATATACCCCAAGGAAACGAAAACTGAGACACAAATGGACATTTTTACTCGAATGTTCTTGGCAGCGTTATTTACCATTGCAAGAACATGTAAACAGCCCAAATGTCCAAGCACAACAGAATGGACTGCAAACTTGTGGTACATTCACACGATGGAATACTATGCATCACTCAGAAGCAATGATTTAGAAATTTACTACATAACTTGGGAGTGACTTGAGAGCATTATACTAAGTGAACTAATTTAGTCTTATAAGGACAAATACTACATAAGACCATTATTGTAGAAACAGAAATATAACTATTAAAACATGTATGAGGATCCAAGTGAAGGAGGGTGGGAGTAGAGGGGTGAGGATGGGCAGGAAGGAAATCACAGGGTCACAGAATTTGGTGGGTGGCAGGAGGTGGGTAAAGGAAATGGGAAAGATCCTGTGGGGATCTGGAAAGACAGAGTAATGGTGGGTATGGTTCAATGATGATTAAGTTTATAAAACATAATGAATGGGAATGGTTGTATGAATGAAGGATGCTGTGAAACATAATGTATATGAACTTTGTAAGCAAACAAATATAAAACAATTTGGAAAAAACCCTTTCAAAAATATAAAATTTACTACATAAAAATAAAAATAAAAATTTAAGTTAGGGACAGTAGTTTTCCTGACAAAATGTTACTCATTTGACAAAAATGTCAGCTACAATTACATACTAAAACAACATCCCTTAATTATTTTGAGGAACAAAACATATATAAATGAGATTTATACATAACTGACAAGCCATTCAATGGATTAAGCAAGTTATGACTGATTCCTAAGAGGGCATGATGAGTATTTCTATTGTGAAAGACCAGAGTGTGACAAGGGACCTCTGGTAATATAGTCCATAAGAATCTGTACTTGCTGACCGAAAGGCAGGGCCTCTATGGCACTCTGAAGCCTCCACAGGAGAAAGATGGACTGTATGAATTAGAGCTTCTGAAAACCTACTTACAGCAATGAATTTTGTTATGAGAGAGTGACAGGAAAATATAAAAAACAGTATACTCCTTATTTCTAACATGTAAGGTGGACTTCTATTTCTGGCAATGTGGTAAACAGTTGTTATATGTACTGTAGAGTTTGTTCCAATTCATGGTGACACTATGTAAAACAGAAAAACACTGCCTGATCCTATGACATTCTAACAATTACTTCTGTGTCTTAGTCTTTTGTTGCAACCACTGTGTCAGCCCACTTTGTTGTCTTTCTTACTGTTGTTGTTGTTAGGTGCCACTGCATCAGCTTCAATTTGTGTCAACTCTATGTACAATAGTTAAAAACCTTGCCTGATCCCTCACAATTCTCATTTCTCAGTTGTTTTTAATCCTAATGTTGCAGTCATCTGTCAATCTGTTTTTGAGGGTCTTTCTCTTCCTGTTTCTGACCCTCCACTTTTCTCAGAAAGATGCCCTTTTTCAAGGGCTAGCCTCTCCTAATATGTCCATCTCTTCACTATTGTGAATAATGCTGTAGTCAACATTCGTGTCAAACCTCTGGTTTCTTTAGGGTATATTGCTAATAGTGAGACAGCTGGGTAAAATGGTATGTTTATTTCTGTGGTGTTAGGCTAAAAGTTGGCTTTTTATCAGCCATTATAGTTAGCTGCCTGATGGTCTCCAGCTTCCTTAACTACAAACACATAGTCTTACAAATCACAATAGCTGTAGGACTAGGATAAGAGAAACACTGCTTCCCATACTGGGCAGCAAGACTTGAGGTGAGCAAGACTTGAAGAAGCAAGATGTCAGGTGAACAATTCTTGTGGTGGCAATACCCTGCTGAGAGCAAGACCCTGGTGGTGGAGAGACTGTGGCATTGCTGTGGAGAAATGGAGGCAAGGTATGACCTGTGGCTTCTTGCATTTGTGCTGGCCACAGTTAAAGGTCTGGCTGTTCTTGCTGGATTTTTGAAGAAGCTGACTTATAACTGCTCTGAGGCAAAACTTGCTGGATGACTGGGTTATAACTACTCTGAGGTGAATTTTGATAGATGATTTTCATTTGACTGCTGAACTGAAACCGGACCCTGGACTTGTTGAGGAATTGTGCTTTGGAATGGTTGCACTAAAGCCTGGACTTGCATTGTGAGATAGTCTCTGCCTCCCCTGCTCACTTCCTTAATAAACCCTGTTGTTGGTACCATAATTATGAGTCTAAGTCAGCAATGAATAAAGTAAACAGATCTCTACTGCTGGTCTTCTAGAGGCAAAATGGGGCCAAGCTACACGCTCTTTATCTGTTTTCTGCTCTTGGGTGGTGAGGGGATGTGTTATTCTTACTCCCTTTGGCCATCTCAGAGAAATGTTCAAGGCCCTATGCCTCCAAGGCCCATTTCCCTCCTTTATACAATTTCCAACTTTTTGAGGAAGCACCAGATTGCCATCCATAGTGGTTGTGTCATTTTACATTCCTGTCAGCAGTGTATAAGAGTTCCAAACTCTCCAGATCTATCTTTGTCAGCATTTGTTGTTTGATGTTCTGTTGTTTTTCTTTGCATGTCTAATAACTTGGGATTCTGAACATTTCTTCACGTGTTTGTTGGGCATCTGATTTTCTTCTTTGGTCAAGTGTCTGGAAGGAAGCAAGGTGAAGAAGCCAGACTTGGGGCAAGCAAGGCCCATCTTGTGCCCATTTTGTAACTGAGTTGATCGCATATTTCTTGCAGAGATGGAAGCAGCTCAAGTGCCCATCGACAAACGAATGGATAGAAAAACTATTACATCCACACAATGGAGTATTTCACCGCACTGAAAAAACAATGAACTTGTAAAACACTACATAACATGGATAAGTCTGGAAGACAGTATGCTGAGTTAAATAGCTCAATCCCAAAAGGACAAATACGGCATAAGACTGCTATTA